TTTCTGCTTCGAATGGCAAAGGAAATCTAGGACAAGAGTCTTGCGGAGTTCAATCGTTTCTGCATCGCTGCTAAGGGTAGGTCAAAAAGCTTGGAAAAGCAGAAAATATAGTCAACATGAAAAGAGCTTTTCGAGTTGTGTTTTAAGAGTGTGCCTTTTCTATTTACTTACTTTTCGGTTATCTTATATATAAAATTCTCGTGTCACAATTTTCGTTCCCATACTCCTCCGAAACGGCTAGACCGATTCTCATGACATTTTGTGAGCATATTGAGTAGGTCTGATAATCGGCCAACATCTATTTTTAATCCCGCGCGGACGGAGTCGCGGGCGGCGGCTAGTTTATTATAGTTATCTAGTTGCAGATGCGTTGTCTACTTTTAATCGACGGAGAAGGAGACGCACAGAAAAATAATAATTCCTCTTCCTATGCGTCCCTTTCTCCATCCTAGCTTCCCATATTTTTAATCATTTTCTATTTTTAAAAAAGTAATAAATGTTTTATAACACTTGTGTCGTTGACGATACACTCATGTAATGGAGTTTAGCATACATTAGACTCGGTCCCCACTGCATACCTGTCACTTGTGCGTGAGTTCACGCAATGCGGACAACCTTGTTTGCAACAGATCAGCAACCATCTTTGTGAAAGAACTTTTTATTTATATCATAAGGTGGGAAACGAGCAAGCGGCCACCTGAAATCTCTGAAATAGCGAAGTGACCGTTGCCCATATACATACGCAATTGCATATGCGTTGCCTACCTTTAATCAACGGAGGAGAGGATGCACAGAAAGAAAATGTTTTCCCTTTCCATGCAACCTCTCATCGGGAATGTCCACTTCCACTTCCCATCTTTCCATTCTTACGGTGAAGGAAAACATCGTGATGCAACCTGCAGATATTTGAGAAGAAATTCAAATATATGTGTGAAGTCAACCAACCCGCACTTGGCCAGCGTGGTTGACTATCACCCTTAACTTAGGGCAGGCTCCGAGCCCCTCGGTGGGGACGTATAGTGAGCTGATGATGATGATAATCTTTCTCTCGCTAGGTCTAGGAGTGACCTAGATTTTGTCTAGCTTGACCGACATTGCAGTGTGTTAAAGTTGCACAACACACAAATATCGTTTGGTGAATCGTAAATAGTTTCGAGATAAGGTGTGGTGTTTGAATATTTATGTTAATATTTAGGTACAGTCGCGTGCAGAAATGTTATGTAGGAAAATATTACTAATATTATAAATGAGAATGTTTGTATAGATGTATGTTTGAAGGTATCTAAAGAACAGTTGAAAGGATCTTGATGATATTTGGCATAGATGTAGAACATAATGGAAGAACATAGAGGCTACTAATTAAGTTTTTATTTATTAATTCCTCGCAGACGAAGTCGCGGTCGATAGTAGGTTGACCCGGGTTAGTGTCACCTTTTAACAAACATTCATCAACTCTGCATCTAGACATTCGTTTTTATGATAGTAAGGTAATTTCTCGTCGTCGCCGGGACCTCCGTGAAATCTGGACTATGGCGATCAAAATATGACGTACTAACTGTACTACACCTTGCATTTGTTCCACTTTATTACAACATATATTTTAGTTCGTGATTGTACCCGAGAAGTGACGGGTCACGGTTAGAATGCACGGTGTGTTTGGAGGCGCGGTTAGTTTGTGCTACATTTTGTTGCGAGGCCCTAGATACGAAATACCCGTGAGTTAACGGTTGATCGGATTTTAGTATAAAGGTTAGAGATGTTTTATTAAGCTATAAAGTTATTATTAAGTTATTAACAGTTGTAGACGCAAACATCTGTTGCATAAAAGAGCCTCGCACAATGCTATACCTCGACGACACAAGACAGGCGTCAAATGGAAGCAATTCCGCGTACAGTCTGATAAGTGTGCGTGCCATAAGCTTATTTTTAATACCCTATCCCTTCCCACTCTGACTATAAAGGAAAGGACGGGGATTGATTTGATCCTTCAAATTTTCTCCTGAAAGAGACCCGTAGTAAGGGCAAGTATTCTCCTTTAGTCTCTTCGTCGTTTAAAAGTAGGCAATGTATCTGCAATTGCAAATGTCTATTGGCAACGGTTGCTTCGCTATTTCGGCGAATTCAGATGACCGCTCGGTCGTTTGCCTTATAATATAAAAATATATATTGTTTGGTTTGTTTGTTCGTAGTTTTTATTATTTTTATTATCCAATATAAAATGTGTAATTTATTTTAATTCATATTACTTTAACAAATAATTAATAAACATAATAAAATATGTTACGTTATCTATATAAGTTGTGTAGCATAAAAGTAAGTCAACAAACTAAACATAACTAGTGCGTTGACACGGCTTGCCCTCATTAACCCGACGTACTTGGTAATTAGACGGACAGACAGACGGAGATGTACAGTCACCTCCGCTCGCGGTATGCCAATAAATTTTTTTTTTTAAATCCCGCAAAAAACTTAGACGCTGCCTTTCTTTTGTTAGAATAAGCAATTTGTCGAAGGTAAATACGAATTCTTCTTCTTCTTCGAAAAATACCAATAGGAAAGAGAAATATACTTTTTCTATATGTCTTTCCTTTTAATAGCCAACTCATCTGCCACCTTTTCAGTTCTTGCACATGTCTATAGTATATAAGTCAGATGTGTGGTTTATGCAATTTTTTTCAATATTCACGTTTTAAGCGTACGACATGATCAAATATTTGTAGCTTTGTAACTGGTACACCGCGAATGGACGCGACTGTACCAATTAAACTAAGTGTACTCAGAGCTTGCAGCTTCTCAATTAAATCAAGTAGAGTCATAATGATGAACCAGGGAAATTAAAAATACTCAAAAGTGCTAGAAAAATCTAATTATAATAAAAATACAAGTTTTTTTTTACTTCTGATTAAAAGGCCCTTGAGAGATGTAACTATTTTCAGGGGATGGGTCCAAATAATTAATAATATTTCTTTTTTCTTTCCATGTTGTATTTGTTACTCATTCATACAATAATACGGACAATACAGTTTTATAATACGCATACCTATGACGTATTCGATCTCAGACTTAGTCACGATGACATCATATCTATTTATGAAGTCTGTCGTAGCGTTACGTACTAGCTTGTTATGTTTTCCTGGTACTTTTAGATCCTCTGGTCATTGTAATAGTCTCTGCACTGCCAATATTAATCTTTCTACGTAAATGCGAATGTTTAGATGGACGTTTGTTAGTAGGTATCTCCTAATCGGCTGAGCAGATCGTGATAAAATCTGGCATACATATAGAGCATAGCCTGGAAGAATATGTAGGCTACTAATTATGCTTTTTTATCGCGCGGACGGAGTTGCGGGCATTAAAATGCGGCATTTAAAATAGTATTTTCTATGTTTGATAATTAGAGACATTAATGCATGACGAAATAGTAGGACCAAGCTACTAAAGATAAAAAATTTAGTTATCTTAAATATGTGTAATTATATGATACAATGTGAACGGAATCGAAGTGGAAATGGTAGTTTGATAGCCGGCGCGTTGACACCGCCAACGGAAACATGCCCGCGATAATAATAATATCAATTTAATGACTCATTTAGTTGTCTGGTACAAGTTATAAGCGATAGCGTGTTATAATCCGCTTCGAGCTGATAAAATGTTATTAACACGTTAGCTGCCATGTCGGACTATGTGTCCGACAAGCCATACTTCCATCCATATGTAAATAATAAGTATATGAGCAATGTAAATAAGGTATTACTAAGGTGTTTTCAAATGGTTTTGGACAAAATTAAGAAAAAAAATTCATTTTTCGATAAATCATTCTGGCACCTAACGTGTTAAATGTGATTTTACTTGAAATAAATGTGGTTACGAAGGGAGAATATAACTCTATATACTCGTATTATTTCTAATTAAAAAACTTTTGACTGTAACAACAATTATGACGGGTTTTAAAATATGATTTTTTATATACGAAGAGCAAAAAGAGTTGCTAAAATTCCAAGTTATTTTCAAATTGCTACTCAGTGTCTTGTTAAGACCACGTATTTATTTTGTTGGTATAATATGAAAATAAAACTAAGGTTTTGAAAACTTTACAGTTTTTACAAAACACAATTACTATCGAATGAATCACAGTTATGGCTTTTGTAAACTATTGAAACAAAACATTGGATATGGACCATCTTTACTCTACTTTGTTTAAAAAAAGTTTTATTTGTATTAGAAAATTGTTATTATTCAACATATCTGATGATCTCATGAGGAATATTTAGTATTTTTCTCTGATTGCCTTTAACTTGTACCACACGTAAAAGTCCGAGAATATTTTCGCGATTTATTTCCTCCGAAACTCGACTCACTTGACAGACGACAATAGACCTTAAGATACAATTTTAAAGTTGACATTCCTGCGTACGTCCTCGTTATCTCAGCAAGGACGTAATACAAGGTTAGGTTATTACGTGTTTTAAACAAGTGGGTGCTTCTCTCCTCTGAGTTGTGTCGTTTTTTTATTAATATTTTTGACGATTCGAACGCCTGTTGTTTTATGTCCTCCTGGTACTTTTTTTTTATTACATCTTCATTTTATATTATTAAAAAGTGTACTGAAAATTGACGTTGAACGTATCAGCATTGGTTTACAAAATTTTTGAAAGAAAATGGTACGGTATATGTTCAAAACTAAAAACATTTGACCATGGGCTTCTGAGAGCAAAATATCTGTATAAAACATATCGTCATCCCTGTCATTATCTTTGACAAAACAGAGATAACAATATGTTATACGAAGATTTTGGATTCAGAAACCTACGGTTAATACAACAAAGTGGTTACCTGTTGGTGGAAATTCAAATGTATTATAATTCATGAGCAAAGTGTTTTATATAAAAAAAGCTTCATGCACTTCTGGTCATTAACTTCATATGAAATTTTTTTATTAAAAAGAGTTGCAGTGTTTTCTCCTTCGTACCATTATTGATATCTTGGTTTACGTGTTTCAGGTGAATGGGAGGCAGCGCAGGATGACATCTGGCGGCTGAGGCGCCGCGCGCCGCCGACACGCGCACAACAACAACATGTCGTTCTTTAACAATCTTAAAAAGGTAAACAAGCGAGATTAAACAGTAGATTACCCCTGCTAATATACTCCTTGAGAAATAAAAATATTAATAAAGACGCCAATCTAGGTTAAAAGTACGTAAGTTCGGCGTGTGTTGCAATCACACTTCGACTACTATACTGAACCCCATCCAAACACAAGCTACGAGTTTACTTGGAATGATAACAAGAATTAATATTTAATATAAAAATATATTTTAATATTTAATTCAGTGAAGATTATTCAAAATTAAAAACATTAGAAAAACATGCCACAGCTTGCAAGCCTGACTGTACTTTTATAAGGCGGAGAACACCAATTAAATAACATGTCACTTAAAATTGATCCAATTGTAATTTGCCGAAGTAAATTGTAAAATTACACTTGTTGGATAATGAAAACATATAAAAATTACGTTAAATTTCGTTAAAATATAAAAAATCTCATTCTTAACTACTTCACAATTGAATAGAAAATTAATGCCGTTAAATTGTAAACATTTCAGGTGCTGCACCTCGGTAGCGGAAATGACGCGAAAAAGAAAAAGGTGTTTAGCAACATCCGGGACAACAGCGACCCTAATGAACACTGGGATATGATAGGTGAACTCGGAGATGGCGCATTCGGCAAGGTAACATTATGAATGAGTCGTTAATTTGCCCATAGACATATGCGTTGCTTTTAATCGACGGAGGATGCACAGAAAGAGAATATTTTCCCTTCCCATGCATCCTCTTATCCGGAAAATCCTTCCACTTCCCACCCTTTTACTAGATAGAAAGAGGAGTAAAATACGCCTCCGGAATGCACACTCATCAGAGCCATGTCTGTGGTCGTGGTATTGCAGCTAACCGAACAATTGCCAAAAAATGGTGAAGCGGACTCTACCACTGTTTCAGTTAGTCGAAAAATCTGCCCCGGTGTACATAAGTCAAATTAAATTATGACGGCTCACTACCGCTACACTTAACATCGAAATATAAATTTTTCTTTTATGTCATTTTATAAGTTAAATCGTGAGTTTCAAAGACAAAAATCTCTATATAAAACCACCGTCTACCATATGTTAACGTACTATTGCATATTTCGACACTTTATTATCAGACTTATATTGTTGTGGTTAAATCATAAACCAGATGTAATCATTTTCTGCCATTTTATATTTGGTCTGACAATATTTTTACTTGTATTTAGTAAATCAACTAAAAAGTAAAGTGAGCTGTTTTCCCAACATTGACAACAGATGGCGTTAGTAGTATATAAAAAGGCGCTATCAAATGCCTCAGTCTTGTTATCGAGTCGAATGAGCTGACTTGTGTATGTCGATCTTTCCAAAGGTTTAACGGGGAATGATGATTCGGTTAATCACGCGGCTGTGTGAAGTCCGTCACCGAATGTTACGCATTTGGCGGGCCAAAACCATACTGACCCCTAATTTTTGAAAGATCTTTCAAGTTTTATTGCCTCTATAGTGTGTCTAAGATAGATTAGTTTGACAAGTGACGCCTTAAAATATCGAATTAATGTTGTACTTAATGGATGTCATAGTGTCGGAGTGTACGCACATTACGAACAATTATGAACTATCGATCGGTCTTGTAATAAAATTAATCCAACAGGGGAATTTATCACAGATATTTAACGATGTCTCGCGCAGTTAACTAACAGACACACTATAATAGAAAAGTAAAGAGCTTAATGAGTCTTGGACTTATTTCTAGGTTACGAAAATCAATAAAACACAGATGTGAAACGGATCGATAAATCGTTTTAGAATAGCTCAATTTGTACCAACATAGTTATTATATATAAACACGGCTAAACATTCACGTATATTCGTCCTGTGGCGGCGTCCGCGAAATAATACCAGTACCACTCATCCTGATGAAGGGCCCCCGATGGGCTCGAAACTAGTCGGTGCCGCCACCGGACGTATATACGTGAGTGTTTAGTATAATGTTTCATGAAAGTTTGAATAATTTAACATAATTATGATTTGTGTTTCGAATGGTAAGTTGCTAATCTAGTTGAGCTATAGCTCAACGGTTCAGATCTATTTCCTATACTTTTGAACCGATTCAGAGCTGATTTACACACGGCTACAATATATTTTGTGCGCCCAATTTTGTTATGTAAAAGTGTGACATTTAGCCCTTTTTTAAAACTCTGCAATTATTAACTGTCACCGGCGACTCTGTCCGCGCGAAATTACATATAATTAGTAGCCTATGTATTTTACCAGGCTATGTTCTACATCTATGCCAAATTTCATCGAGATCCAAGCCTTGGTGATACGGTCTAACATCCATCCATCCAAACATTCACAACCTTCTTCTTACTAATATTATAAATGCGAATGTTTAGATGGATGTGGATGGATGTTTGTCGAATCTATCTCCAGAACGGCTGAACGGATCTAAATGAAATTAGTCATACATATAGAACATAGGCTGGAATAACACATAGACTACTAATTATGTCGCGGGCGATCGTTAGTTTGTAATATGACTAAGATTTTCACAGCTAGACCTAACAATTATTATTTAAACATTTCCAGGTATACAAAGCACAGCACAAGAGCACAGGTCAGCTCGCCGCTGCCAAGATGTGTGTGCTTGACAACGAAGATGACCTGGCTGACTTCACGGTGGAGATAGACATTCTTAGCGAATGTCGACATCCGAATGTAGTCGAGTTACACGAAGCATATTTCATTGATAATAAATTATGGGTAAGTATAAGAAGTCACAGAGAATTTACAGTCGGTTTCTGAGGCCAAAGTAACAGTTTAAAATATACTGTTATCTCTGTGTTGACATTAAAGACATGGGTTATTTTGGTTATATATGGTAGCATTTTTAATCTGCATAAAATTTTATTGATGCAAAGTACGTAGAAAGAGCGTTCGTAGCTCAGGAGTCAAGCACTTGACTTGCAATGTGCAGGTCCTGGGTTCGAATTCCGTCATGTACTAATGTGTTTTTCCATTTACGATTTACATATGTACATTTATCCTATGTTCTTACGGTGAAGGAAAACATCGTGATGCTGCACATATCTGAGAAGAAATTCAAAGATATGTGTGAAGTCAACCCGCACTTGGCGCAGCGTGGTTGACTATGACCTAATCACCCCTAATTTAGGGTAGGCTCCGAGGCCCTCAGTGGGGACGTATAGTGAGCTGATGATGCCATCTATTAGTTTAAATATATTATATTTAATTGAACCTATCATTTGTTCCAGATGTTGCTGGAATACTGCGACGGTGGTGCCCTAGATTCAGTAATGGCGGAACTGGAGAAGGGTCTGAACGAGGCGCAGATAGCTTACGTGTGCCGCGAGATGTGCCGCGGGCTGCAGTTCCTGCACTCGCGACGTGTTATACATAGAGATTTGAAGGCGGGGAATGTACTCGCTACTATGACGGGCGGAGTTAAATTAGGTTAGTTAAAAATAACAGGATTCCCCCCACAATCCGTCCCCTCCCTTGAGAATTGAAAGAATTTTACTAATATTATAAATGCGAATGTTTAGATGGATGTTTGTTAGAAGATGTTTGATGTCTGCATGGATCTAGATGAAATGAGGTATAGATGTAGAACATAGTCTGGAAGAATACATAAGCAACTATTTTTTTAATTCCGTGCGCAAGCCGTGGTCGACGGATAAGTTTTATTTAAATCTGCAACTATTAAATAAGATTAGATAAAAAAAAAAACATAATTAGTAGCCTATGTGTTGTTCCAGACTATGGTTGACATCTATGATAAATTTAGTCAAGATCCATGCAACCATTCTGATATCTTCTAACAAACATCCATTTAAACATTCGCATTTATAATATTAGTAAGGTTGTTGCGTTCAATGTTATGTTATGTTTTCCAGCTGACTTCGGTGTGTCGGCAAAGAACAAGTCGACACTGCAGAAGCACGACACATTCATCGGGACGCCGTACTGGATGGCTCCTGAAGTGGTACTCTGCGAGACATTCAGAGATCATCCTTATGATTTCAAGGTCAGTTTACATTTTAATATACGTTAGAACATTTGATAAATCAACTCTGAATCGGTTCAAAATATCACAAAGACTTGAACTATTGAGCGGCTCAACATTTAGTGTCAGCTCACAGCTCATCCCGATTATTTGATAATGAGCGGTTGCTAGTGACTCCGTCCGTGCGAGATTGAAAAAGAACTGAATTACTTCAGCGAGATTCATGTAGCTGTTCTAAATTTTCCTTCAAACAAACATCCATCCATCTGTTTTATCATGCTATATATAGATTCTAGCCAACAATGGTAGAGACCTCTTTAAAATATTCGCACGAATTGTCCCGGCTCCTCCGGTGAAATACCACGACCATACAGAAGACGTGCAGTCTGATGAGTGTGTGTCCCGGAGGACTTATTTACTCCTCTTTCCCTTCCCACCCTTTGTCTTATAAGGAAAGGATGGGAAGTGGAAGTGGACTTTCCGGATGAGATGATGCATGGAAAGCGAATATATTTTCTTTCTGTGCATCCTCTCCTCCGTGGATTAAAGGTAGGCAACGCATATGCAATTGCGTATGTCTATGGGCAATCACTTCGCTATTTCAGCGATATCAGGTGACCGCAAGCTCGTTTGCCATCTTATGATATGTTTAATGCGTCCTTACAGCTTGTGTTAAATGTATATATTTTCTGTTTACAGGTGGACATCTGGTCGTTGGGCATCACGCTGATCGAGTTCGCACAGATGGAGCCGCCGAACCATGAGATGACACCGATGAGAGTTCTCCTCAAGATACAGAAGAGTGACCCTCCCGCCCTCGACCAGCCCTCGCGCTGGTCAAAACCCTTCAATGACTTCATCGCTAAAGCTCTAGTCAAGGTAACATCCACAATTACTCAAAATAAGGGTAACCCCTTCTTACGGTGAAGGAAAACATCGTGATGCTGCACATATCTGAAAAGAAATTCAAATATATCTGTGAAGTTAACCAATCCGCACTAGACCAGCGTGGTTGACTATGACCTAGGCACATAACTTAGGATAGGCTCCGAGCTCAGTGGGGACATATAGTGAGCTGATGATGATAGACTCAAAATAAAATATAAGCAGATTTTTTTGTAAATTTACTATTATTTCTTTTACCATTCCAACTAAGCTCTAGACTTGTGCTAGGATATGGTTTACGACAATAGTCGAATGTCGGGATTTGAACTCACGACCACGTGATCCGAAACCCCTACCCTTAACCATTAGGCTATAAAGGCGTTATACGATGCCTTAAGTTCACACTTATTACACTATTGTAACTCATATTCCATCACAAGCCTAGAGCTTACTTGGAATGGTACACGAAATATTAGTAAAATACCTGTCGCCCGCGCCTCTGTCCGCGGTATCAAAATAAAAATTAGTAGCCTATGTGTTCTTCCAGACTATGTTCTACATCTATACCAAACTTCAGCAAGATCTGTTCAGCCGTTCTGGAGATATGTTCTAATAAACATCCATCTAAACATTCGCATTTATAATATTAGTAAGATTTATAACTATTTATTTTCCAGGATCCAGAAAAAAGGCCAACATCCAGCGAACTATTGAAACACGAGTTCGTCAGCGGCGAATTGGATTCTAAACCCCTCAGAGACTTGCTGCTGGAGTACAGAGCTGAAGTCGTCGAGGAGGAGCTATTGGATGATGACTCTGAGGTCAGTAGACCAAAAGACCTAGTAGACCGCTCGTCTTTTGTAGATGGATACTATAATAACACAGTAAGGATGTTGATGGTTACGAAAGAAATAACTGAAGCCAGTAGACCGAAACACCGGTAGACCAGTAGACCGAAAGACCAAGTAGACCACTTGTCTTTTGTAGCATGATACATTAATAATAAAGAAAGAATGGTTACGATTACTAAAGAAATGATTGAAGTCAGTAGACCAACATCAGTAGACCATTTGACTTTTGCAATTAAAAGAGTATGAATGTGGATGATCATAAAAGGATTTACTCTCACTAGTAGAGCAGAAGACTATTTGTGTATTGTTTGGTATATTAATAGTAAATATTGTATGGATGGATTGTGTGACAAACTGTATGTATGAGTTTATAAAGGCTTGAATCCGAATTTAACAATTAAGTCTTTTAATTTTTAAAGCAGACATAAATATCGTTTATAATGAAATTTGATAATAATATGTCAGTTTTAAACTATATCTTTATATTTTATTATATTAAAATATCAGAATATAAGTAACGCATTATATAATATAGCTATATAATAATGTTTTTATGTATATAACACGTGTTGCCTCCCCGCACGCTTTCAATAGAACAAGAGGAAAGGTAGAACAAAAAACAAGGAGCAGTATCAAAGAATTGGTTAGTATATGATGTTGATGGTTTTGTAAAGAATAATAACGCTTTTTTATATTAAAAATTGTATAAGCTAGCTGTCGCCCGCGGTTCTGTTTAAGTTATATTAAATTGTGTCTATGTGTTCTTCCAGACTATGTTCTATATGTGTGTCAAATTTCAACGTGATCCGTGCAGATGTTCTGGAGATATCTTCTGACAAATAATTATCTAAATATTTGCATTTATAATTATAGTAAAAAGATAATCAAATAATTTTAAAGTTGTTTTTTTGGGATTTTTCTAGGAAGTTATTTTGTTTTTTTTTCTAATCATTGTCAATATTTCTCAATTGTAAAATGGCGAGATTCAAACACACGACTACTAGATTAGTAGTCCATACTTTTAACTATTGGGCTATTAGTGGAATTGTAAATTTTATAATTTCAATAACAAAAATCGATTTTGTTTTGAAAAGTATAAAACACACTATGAGTTCGATTCACACATTCAAAAATATATAGCTATCTCTGTTATTATATATAAATAAGAAAGAGATGACCATATGTTTGATATGTGTTATAAGAAGGGCGTACGTTAATTGTGTTTGTGTATGGCTTACATTGCATGCGAATCTGACGGCCAGCCGCGAGAGCCTCCGCCCTCGTCGAAGGTACAATGTAAACTCTATGTTCTAAGAAATAACGTTCATTTTTGTTTGACGTGTCGATTTTTTTTAATTGTTTATTTTGCTTTAAATCAGAGATACTTTATTTGTTATAGAAAATATACTAAAAATACAATAATATGTATTTTTCTAATGGTCTTTATGGTAAAAAAAATAGAGATGTGATTTTTAATAATTATAGTTTAAGAGCTATTAAAAAAAATTATTATAAACTATTTCGTTGGATTTAGTAAGATTTTAGTACTTCTAATTTTAGTATAGCCAGTTAAACTACTAATACCACTATTATAATATTTATTTGAATTTCCTGCACTCTCAAAGTGAACCTAATATTTACTAGAAAATATGTTCCTTTATACTTTATGCTTTTTATTCTATAATTTTATTTATTTTATTATAAAAGATATATTTTTTATCGTAGTTTTCTGCTTAATTTTATTTAATGCATTGTATATTTATTTGTAAATAATTTTTTTTTTTATTTAAAATTTAATTTTGTTTGAATGTCTGATGTCTTTTGACGCATATGTACTCGAATTGAATTGGCACGCCGGAAATAAGAGTACTCTTTTAACCGACGTGTCAACTGACGAGTACTATACAAAGTTGGGTAGTCAGTCTTTTTTTGGTGCTTAATTTATTTATGTTTTGCAGGAGCATCGCAGCTCCCAGATGCACATGGAGATAGAAGATGACTCGACGTCTGTGCGCTCGGGCGAGACGCCGGACATCAAGAGTGAGTGTCATTATTTTATACTATCTGTCGCCCGCGACTCCGTCCCCACGTTTATTTGTAGTCTATGTGTTCTTCCACACTGTGTTCTATCTGTGCCAATTCTCATCAAGATACGTTAAGCTGGAAATACTTTCAAACAAACATCCATCCATCCATCCATCTGAACTTTCGCATTTATAATATTAGTAAGATTGATGATTGCACGTCGCAGTGACGTTGAGTGAACTTGCGATACACAAGGAAGAACATTTTCGCCAGTAATAAGTCATATGTTTATTTATAATTAGTGTCGGAGGAGCCATCGGCGGGTACTCCGTCCCCGCCGGGTGCTTCGCGTGCCTCCC